AAAGCCTTTCAAAAGAGGAGCCAAACGAGGAGAAAGAAGAAGGGGCCGAAGGAAACTGTGGCTTCTACGAGCGGAAGGGAACACTCCGTTAAGCTAAGTCCACATCCTTCACCCGGGGCAATAAAGACGGCTGTGCGTACGACCACCGTGGCATATCGTGCCGCGGTCTGTCCCGTGGCTGTGGATGCTCCTTTACATCCAACCGGTTCACAATCCATCGCTTGATACCAGACGCGATGCCTTCTGAAAGCTGCTCGTCGCAGTTTACCGTGCCAGAACACGAGCGCCCGGCTCAAACTACCCACGGACTTCCACAATCACGGGACGGATCCTCGTAGACCTCTTAATATGTGTTCCTTGAATACCGACGAGCCGACGAGCTCTATCTTGGGTATCCGTTCCCCTCTCTGTTCTCGCAAACACGAGACGCCGCCCCGACAGCATGAAAGGGGATTCGTTTGATGCCACTTTAACGCGAACGCGCGGTGTCGCGCTTCCAGGCTCTTATAAAGTAATCCGCGTGTATCTTGCGGGGAAATCGGAGAGGAGGGACGGTCCCCGCGTATTCGGCGCGGCTTCTGTTATGTTCTGCTTGCAATTGGAAATTTTCGGCCGCGTTGCCACTGTATTCCAGCCGGCGCCGATGCACCGTGAACTGGAAGCTCGGTTTCCCTGGCCGAAATTATCCGCAGGTTGTTTCGACGTTCGACGTTTTTTTTGTGGAAGATCGTTGGATTCATCTAGACATCGGCTACGGTATTATGGTGCCAAAGATATACAGGGGGACCCGGATTTTAAGGTTCAGAATATCTCAGTAAGTGAGAAAACGATCACTTTTAACCCTTTGCACTCGAGCGGTGACTCGGAGACACCGCTAAAATTGTTACGCCACGTTCCAAGATCATTTTCATAATATCAAAGCTTAGGTATAAAGAATTGTTAAAAGTCTGACTGTTGCACGAGTCGCAAGACTCGATTTCGTACGCGTAAAATGCACCGTGCAGATCCAGTAAATTCGGTAAATATGGTAAATACGGTAAATACTCTTCCGAAATTGTCGATTTTTGTGCGCAATCCGAGCGTCGATTAGGGAGACATTGCTGCACCACGAAAAATAGAGGTGGCATCATTAGACGTTCGTTACCGGGTAACCGCATCGACGCGTCTCGACGCATTGTCTTCGGAGCCGGCGGAACCGTTTCTCGCCACAATTACAAGAGGCGCGAATTACAAGCGAACGCGCGAACGTCATTATCAATCCCGAAGCATAGCTCATTATCGCGGCAACCGGTATGCAAACTGCAAAGCCATGAATTACAGGAACGAGCCCCGCATTATCGACCGATCGAAGCGAATTTCCCGAAAGCTATCTCTCCGCCGGCTGGCGGAACGGGACACCATGGCGAGAACCGTTGCCCCGTGAGCTTACAAAGCTCGCGCAGCTAGTCACGGAGCTAGTCGCAAGACGGTCTACGTGACCTAAAGCTTGAATTTCGAGTTTCTGTACGGCTGACCAATTCCCTTTTGGTTTACGACGGAAGTTCCCGAGACTCGTCGACGCTTCGGGCGGAATCTTACGGACGGGGATGATACGGCGAGCGCTCGCGCGCGCCGCAGGGAACGCGGAAAATACCGGAAAATGGGGAACACGGAGGATCGGAGGCGGTTGGCGGATGCGCGAAGCGATAGAAAACGCGATTCCGAGCGAAATTATATTCGCCATTGCGCGGTAATTTTTCCCAGGAATCTAAGGGGGTCGGAATTGAAACGACATCGGTCTGGCAAAGCCGGGCGCGTTGAATTTATGCCCGCGTGTTCAATGGCGTTGTTACGTTGCGGCGCAACACCGAAGACAAGATCGTTCACGGTGCCTTGACTAATTGGAACGCGTCTCGTTCTCCCGACCGCTGGAACTTCTCGCCGCTTCTCCGAGGAGAGTCGTCTGCCGCTCGAGCGTATCGTTCTTGTTAACCGGAATTAGCGGCGGTTAATTGTTATCATTTCGTCGGCGCGCCGCTGTTTGACGGTTTGACGTGCTGCTCGTTCTCTCGTTCCCCGCGCCGTCCACGTCCTTGATTAGCAGGGAGACGAGGAGCTAACGCGACTCGGATTCCCCTGGAATCGCGGGCCTGACAAGTAGCTCCGCTGCTTAAGCGGCTGCTGCAAGAATTTTGAACAGCTGCCGCGTCTGCCGGAAGATTATGCGGCGCGATCGCAAAGCGATTACAGCAATGTCCCCCGTACCGACGCTCGGATTGTCTCTCTAATTGACGCCCAGATTGCGAGATCTATAAAGAGATATAATTCGAGACACGATTATAAAAATAAACCGCGAGGCTCGAATAATCGTGTCTACTCTTCCCAAATTGTCCAATTTAGTAATGTCACCCTTACTGACGCTTTCTGTACTCTGCAGAAATAGCAACGAGAATGAATCGAGTGCGCGTTTTGCCCGCCGTGCGACGCCGGTGCGATCCGTTCGGTTTCAGCGTTTAAATCGTCGGTCTTGCTCCCTTTCGGCGAACTACTCCCGCAATTGAGATCGTCTAGCGTCGCGACAAGAGAGGAAGTCCTTCCTTGTATCCCTGTCTCGCGCGCAGACGTTATTAGCCGGAAACTTCCTCGACGAATTCATCCGTGCACGCTTACAATCAGCGGTGTCAGTACTTCGCGGGCTACCGTCGGACGAGATCGTAATGGAATCCCTGACAAATTGCATTTTCCCCGTGGCATTTCATCCCCGGGATTGAAGAGCGAATATTCCGCTTGTTCTTTGGCAATTAGAGATCTCGTCTCGTTTCTCGAAAGACGCTCGCGAGCCTGCGACAGCGCGCAGAGACAAACGGCCGTTCGCCGAAACGCGCGGACCCCGGATTTCATTTTTCGAAGATCGACGACGATCGTCCGGAGGATAAATAGCAGGGGTAACGGAGAACGTTCGATCACGAACGCGAGAATCGAATTTCTCTGCGAACAAATTCGTATGTATCCTCGATATCACGGATTGATCGACGAGGAAAGTTGCTCCCTATCGTTGCGTTTTCCGGGTTTCATTTCGATCCATCTACCCATTTCCAGCTGTCCATTATTCCGGATAGGAGATTCCCGGTCGACGGCAAATTGACAGTGTAAGTCGGTGTGGATGCCGAGGCCCCCGGTGAAAAGCAGCTGCGGCTTTCAAAATTTTCGATCCACCGACGCGGCGCACGCTGGTCGACTCCTTCCAAAAATGGGACTGAAATCACTGCGATTTGGAAACCTGTTTCGTCGACGGCTGACAAAACGAAACGTATCGTTTCGATCGAGTAATTATGTCGTTGCTCGCTTATTTTCTTCCCCGAAGATGCGAAATAAAATTCTTTTTCGCAATCGAACAAATTCGGAAGAGTCCCTTGTCGTTCATTTTCACGGGAACACCGTGCATTATTACTTTCGAAAATCGCGTATTATTCTCGTTGTACCGGTTGCCTTTGGTTTCCTCTACCGATGCTGCACGCCTTTGTTCCAGCAGCCCTTTGTAAAAGTAATTAGAGCTTTTTTTGTAACCGGAGTACCCCATACACCGACCGACACCTTCTTTCCATGTCGTCTCTTTATCGCGCTGTTCGGTACATTTTCTCTTTCTGCCGTTTTAATGCGCGCGTACGTTTGAATATTATGTTTCATAAAATTTGATTGAAAAATATTTCACGCGAAAGTGTATTCTTTGCTTTCGCGTAGAATGAAAATCTGTAAATAAAGGTATAAGTTTCCGTTTAAAGAAACAAAGATACCCTTAAAACTAGTCGACAAAAGAATATAAAATATTAATGTTATCCCCGTGAAATCGAATAAGTTTTGTATTTAACGTTTTTCACAAAAATATGTTGTTTTCCAGTGATTTGGATGTAAAGTCTTCAAACGAACACCCTGTATAGATTTAAACGTGTAAGAAATCCGGAGCTTTTTAAATATTTCAACGCCTGTAGCTTCGTTCAACCACTAAGACACTTTTTTAAATTTTCGTTACGGGCTCGGACAAGAAAGTTAAAAAACGAGAGTTTCTTATCGTTTCTTTTGTCGCTAGAAATAATAGCAAAATTAAATAAAAGCCTCCATCGTCCAATGTTTAAGAAATGATTACGTCTTAATAAATATGCGAACGATTTTGTGGGTCACTGTACGTACGTAGTCATAAAGTTACCCTAAATCTAGTGTAGCACACCGCAAAGCCGCAAAGGAACATGCGAGTAGATACATAATGGACAACTCGACTTAATTAATTACGCTACTTGCAGCTCGGTGCTTAGCAGCAAAGTACATGCTAGTTGTGTTATACGTAACCATGTTAGTCTTAGTTATTAACTTATCCTCTGGTTTCACGTTTATATTTCTCTCAGATGGATTCTGCATACAGTAAATTTCAGTCCGCAATCATTTTACCGAATTTAATCAAATATTTCCCCAGTCGACGCTCGGCTTGTACACGAAAACGGACAATTTTGGAGGAGTTGATACGATTGTTCGAACTTAACGGCTCGTTCTTATAGTTGTCAAGAATCGGCAACTCCCAAGTTGTCCATTTGCTGTTCTTCCCCATCGCTGTGTTCAAGCGTCGCAGGTACCGAAAACTTTGAAGTATTCCTTTCGAATAAGCTCTCGAATAATCTTTCGAATAAGCTTTTTGATTACCTTTCGAAGCGAGTACGTCGGCACCGTCGCGTCGGGCGGACGGGATCCGGCACTGGAAACTTTAAATGCGTTTCGCTGAAAAAGTCGTTCTTTTTACCCGCGAAGATGAAATAAAAAAAGTTACATAACTAATCTAGCTAAAATTTTTTGATGTTGCTTTCGGAGCCATTAACGCGCGGCAGTAAACTCGAGTTTCTGAATTGAAAAATTTCATATTTTCCTTTACGGTCAAAGTTCGCGGGAATCTTAACTCACTACCTGCCCTACACTCACCCCGACCGTTCTAAAAACGAATAAAGCATCATTTTGGGATCTTTTTTCTGTTACAGACGAATCCGCGAACCATCGTTTCTCTGGTAAGCAAAGAAATTCGTTTCTGAAACGTCACCGAGCGCGCATTTTTAAGCTGCACATTTGCACGTTACGAATTGTGTTCGAAGCGACTATTATTTCGCGTCCGTTCGGTGTGATAATGTTTTAAATCTGCTCAGTTTTCTAGCGTGGATGAAGGAATAATTTATGGAACTCTCTGAACATGGAAAAAACTTTTTCAAATTTTTCTACACGCTCGCACGGTATTTCTGTGAAATTTTTGAGGCTGCTGCATTTAATGACGTATTTTACAAAGTAAAAGATTCATTTTCTTCGGGAACGAAAGTTACGAAGCAACATATTTCAGCATGAACATTTTAGGGAAAAACGAAACATTAGGGAATTCGTGGAATTTTAAAGAAAACGTCGATACGGTAAATTCTCCCTAATTGTCCGTCAACTTGGAAACGAAAATGTATAATTTAAGAATAGGAGGTGCGATTATTCGAGGCTTGCGCCTCGTTTTTATAGTTGTTAACAATCGGCAACTATTAAAAACGAGCCGCGAGCCTTTCGTTTCCAAGTTGACGGTCAATTAGGGAGAATTTACTGCATCGACGTTTTCTTTAAAATTTCTACGATCAATCGATCCTCGCGGCTCGTTTTTTAATAGTTGCCGATCGTTAACGACTATAAAAACGAGGCACAAGCCTCGAACAATCGTGTCTCCTCCCTCCGAATTGTGTACAATCTTTTGCGTACAATCCGAGCGTCGATTGGAAAGAATTTACAGTAGCAAGAAACATTTCCCGGCGAGTAAACGCTATTCTCATCGTGAAATTGCGCGGCATTTCCAGCGGAGAGAGCACGCCGGCAACTTAGCAGCGAAATCCGTGTCCCTATAGCAAACAGGGAGCGGTTCTTTCGTTTGGAAATTTGTTCTAACCCGGGCCGGCTCTCGCGGCACGGCCTGAGATATAGTTTGTCAAAGCACCGTCGAGTTTTTCCGGCGCGGTTGTTATTTTCGTCCCGTGGGATTTTTGAAAGGCGAAAGTCCGCCGACCGGCGGAAATTTAAGGGCAACTGCACGGAAAAACAGCACTCCCCGGTTGAAACGTCGAAATAAGGAGACACGTTCGTTTTATGTAACCGGAGACGCTTCTTCCTCCGCGCGGACGAGAATTTCGACGAAAACCGTGGCTCTCCGGCACGCCGCCGCAATCCGCGAAAGCGTCTGCTAAAATTAATCCGACAATTTTCATGGAAATCACAGAGGTCCGGGGGTAAACAATTTCCCTTCGCGATAAATTCGAGGGCGGGAACGGCTCGCGCGAACAGAATCCGCTGAATTTAGATCGCAGATTTAACGCTGGCTCGACTTTCCGTAATTTCTTTATTTGCGAATCCGATGTTTCGAATGCTCGCGTTCCATGCAAATATGCAGGGTGTCCCAAAAGTGTCTCGCAATCCGGAAATGGCGGGTTCCTCGGATCATTTGATGCAACTTTTTCCTTTGCGAAAATGTTCTCCGAAGCACCGTTAACGAGTTATCAACGAAAAACAGTGACCAATAAGAATCGAGTATGGCTGACGCGATGCGGCCCAGCCAACCAGCGCGCGAAGCCCAGTTCCGCTCATTGGCTCGGTCGCCTCGCGCCAGCCGAGCTCGCCTCTCATTGGTCACTGGTTTTCGTTGATAACTCGTTAACGGTGGCTCGGAGAACATTTTTGTAAAGGAAAAAGTTGCTTCGAATGACCCGAAGAACCCGCCACTTTCGGATTGCGAGACATTTTTGGGAAATGTATATATCATCGATATTATATAATATATAATATCGTTGTCTGCTGCAATGGCAACGTCTTTTTAAGCGGACGCTTTCGCGAGATTGTTTTCTCGCGCGTACCGATGCTTTCGATTTTCCGATAAACGCACACGGACGCGAGGGTTTGATTGGTTAAAGGGGGTAAAATGCCTGTAGAGGGTGCATCCTCCGGCGGCGCATCAGACAGAAGGTTCCGGGGAATTTCAAAGAATCCCGATGAACTGGATCTTGATTGCGTTCTCCGTTCGCATTTTCGACCGATCCACCGCTAACGTCGGTGCGGAATATTTCATCGGCGAGGAGGTTCGTTACCAGCGGATCACGATATCGTGACCGAGCTGCGCCTTTGAAATTTCAAAGTGCATCAAATTCGTAAATTCGCTCGATAAATAACTTTCAGCGGGTTCCGTATCGATGCTTTCGCAAACACGGCGAGTCGGNGACCAATAAGAATCGAGTATGGCTGACGCGATGCGGCCCAGCCAACCAGCGCGCGAAGCCCAGTTCCGCTCATTGGCTCGGTCGCCTCGCGCCAGCCGAGCTCGCCTCTCATTGGTCACTGGTTTTCGTTGATAACTCGTTAACGGTGGCTCGGAGAACATTTTTGTAAAGGAAAAAGTTGCTTCGAATGACCCGAAGAACCCGCCACTTTCGGATTGCGAGACATTTTTGGGAAATGTATATATCATCGATATTATATAATATATAATATCGTTGTCTGCTGCAATGGCAACGTCTTTTTAAGCGGACGCTTTCGCGAGATTGTTTTCTCGCGCGTACCGATGCTTTCGATTTTCCGATAAACGCACACGGACGCGAGGGTTTGATTGGTTAAAGGGGGTAAAATGCCTGTAGAGGGTGCATCCTCCGGCGGCGCATCAGACAGAAGGTTCCGGGGAATTTCAAAGAATCCCGATGAACTGGATCTTGATTGCGTTCTCCGTTCGCATTTTCGACCGATCCACCGCTAACGTCGGTGCGGAATATTTCATCGGCGAGGAGGTTCGTTACCAGCGGATCACGATATCGTGACCGAGCTGCGCCTTTGAAATTTCAAAGTGCATCAAATTCGTAAATTCGCTCGATAAATAACTTTCAGCGGGTTCCGTATCGATGCTTTCGCAAACACGGCGAGTCGGAAATAACACTTGGCTGCATTACGGGCTGTTTCATCGGATCGATGACTTTTCGTCTGTCTATTTTACGGAGAACCGAATTCGTCGGAATTGTTAGGTCGGTGCGTATGAAATTTTTAACGAACGATAAAAACCTTTTTTTCTTTCGAATAATGTTTGCTGGACGAAGATACGACACGTTCGCGTAACGCGAAATTTTCGCGCATTCAGAAATCGATTGAGGCATTTAACGGAACGGTGTTCCAACGTCGAAAGAGGGAAGGAGAGAGACAGAAGGTCGCGTGTAAAACAAAAATCGCGGTCGTCGTCGCACGAATTCCGTTCGTCGAGCGAATTTCCGCGGGGTCGGCATTTAATATTACGCCTACGCGGGAAGTGGTTCACGGAAGGACGATTTGAAACCGCGTTTCCGCCTCGTCCCGGCGGGACCGAGTGTAAATAAAAAGGGTCCGACCATTCTGGATTTTACTTCTGCCCGAGCAATCGAGCAACCAAAGTGAAATTTCATCGCACTTTCTCCTTTGACGCGTCCATGAGAAAAGGGAACGTTGATGCACCGTGGCGCACCGGGGAGAGATGCGCTGTGCGAATCGCTACTTCCGCTGAAAGACGCTTTGAAGCAACCGTGGAATCATCGACGATCGTCTACTGTTCATTTAACTTCTGTGGAACAACATTTTTGCCCTTTTTCTATATCCTTTTTCCTAGCTATAGACTCTTGATCCGATTAAGTGATCAGTGAAAATATTATTTGAAAATCCAGATATATATATTCTTGAAGCGGATATTTGTAATATTTATATATAGTATATATTATTATTATATTAATATTATATTATAATATATATTAATATATATTATAATAATATATTATATTAATTATAATTGTATATAATAATAATAATAATATATATCTTTTTCAAGAAAATGGCCGGAAAAAATTTCTAATCGTCGGAATTGCGAAGGAAATTCGCCGGTGAAGGGTTAATCGTGGCACGGCGGCGGCGTTTATAGGCACGTTTATTTAGCCGGCGGATAAATTTGCCGCCGCGGAAAGTTTCCGCGGTCGTTTCTGTCGCATGATCTCGGAATGGTTGTTTCATGACACTGTGAATCAAGCTCGCGTAAATTCACCGGGAGCCCTCTGGTTAATATCGCCGGGGACGCGCGACAACTTATGAAAACGCGAACTTGTCCCTTATCGTCCGGCATCGTCGGCCATTGTTGCGGTGATAAACGCGCGAAGAAGTTTCCCTGTTAAGAGATAAACGCGTGGTAGGGAGGAATCATCGACAATGGGAGAGAGGAAGACAATGAGACCGGGGCCGAACTAAGCCGGCCGCTATGGGAGCCGGGGAGAAAAGTGCACTGAATCACGCGTTATGGCGGGACGAGAAGCGAGCTCGAGTAAACCAAGTGTTATGGGAATTGTGGAAGAAAGTAATACAGCGCCCGGAGAGCTCGTTAAATTATTTTTTAATTAGAAGAACTCCGCGCCGCGCGGCGGAAGACTGCATCCAGGGGGGATACGGCTCGTAACAACTTCGTTTCTCGAAAGCCGAGGCGGTACAATCGAGGAATTTGGTGCAAAAACATCTTAACTCCTCGAATTAACTTGTTTTCGCGGTATCCATCATAATCGTGTTCTTCGATCCTCTATACGCGTAGGGTAAAGGAGCCAATTATTGTGCGCCGCTGTCGGCGGGCTTCGGGAGTTCTCGCTGCTGAAAACAACTTTAGCGATTTAATTGGCACTTCTTAAGAACTCGAAGGATAAATTTCAAAGTTCCTTTCGTTCGTACAAATTTTCTTTCGAAACAAATATCATATTCTCCTTTGAATATTTTGCGAGAAAGAAACGAAAAGTTCCGGAGCCAGCTATCGCGTGTCTATGCTCTACAAAATCAGTTACCGTGCCCCCTCCCCGAATACTGTGCTTCGGTTACCAAACGTCTACTTTCTATTTAAAAAAATGCGATATTATGATGAGTCATCCATTTAGATTGCTTCGTCAGTTACACAAAAATCGCGCGAGGCGCGACACGCTAAAAAAACTTGTAAAAATAACACCGCAGTATTTGGAGC